ATGGAAACCATCGCGGCCCAAACCGGGGAGCTGGACACCAGGGCCGAGACAAGCTGCGCTGTGCGGGAGAGACCCCCGCCCCCCCGCACCCTCTGGCACCCAACATGCACCTTCCTCATCTCCTGTCTGCAAGACGCTGGCGGGCACCCCAGTCCCTGGAACCCCACAGCCACGTGTGGCCTCCAGGGCTGAGGGAGAAGGGGGGCTGCCGGCCAGCAGAAACAGGATGGCCTTTCCTGGTGGGGACCCCTGGCACAGCCCACACTGCTGAGCCGAGTGAAATGGGGGGGTCAAGCCACACCCTCCCCCGCCTGCATGTGCCGCCAGGGCACTGGGGGGGTCAGGGCACCCCTCCCCCGATGCTGTGCAGCCAAGCACCCCTGCAGCCAGGGTCAGAAGCAGCGAGGCCTCCCCCAGGCCCCAGACGACCCACCTGTGCCCCGGGTCAGCACCTCCTGGCTGATCTGGCGCGTGGCCACTGCCCAGAGCTGGGACGGGTGCCACACCCCGGCCACAACCCCCACAGGCCCCAGGCTCCCACAGCTCTGGCCTGTCACCCCTCAGCTCCAGGCCGACAACTCGGATAGGTTGCCCGGGACCGCCCAGGACGCGGGCCTCGATCTTCTGTTTCCGGAACTCACAGTGATTTACACACCACGTTCTCTCCTTCCCGCAGGCCCTGGTGTCCTGCTATCTCAGTCCTGCCTGCCAACACAAACACACACGTTCTCACACAGACACACACACAGAGACACACGCTCTCTCTCTCTCACACACACACACACACATGCACACAGACATACAGACTCACGCAGACACACTCAGGTACATGCACTCACACACATGCACTCAGACACACATGCACACATTCATGCTCAAAAATACATATGCATACACACAAATGTGCATGCATGCAACAGATGCGCACACACACACACACACACACACACACACACACGCCATGGGGTCCGACTGCCAGCTCTCCTGCCCTTACTGTCTTTTACGGGCCCTGGCAGATGGGCAGTGCTCAGTTGCACACGGCGATGGGTGAGTCAACCTCACAGCCCTTTAAGGGCGGCCTCACAGATCGATGCGGACGGACCCTTTGAGATAGGCCAGGGCCGGGCTGAAAGGCGGGGAGGACACTTGGCTTCCTTGTGGGCACCCGGCTCACCTGGGCAGCTCTCTGGCAGGGTGTCAAGCCGCACCCTCTCGAAGAGAGAATGGGTCTCTGGGGTACAGCTGCCGGCTGGGCCCAACGCAGCTTCCTAGGCCACCCGAACTACCCCCAGTGCACAGGGAAGTGGGGGGCTCACCAGACATCTGGCCCCACGCGGACCCCATTCCGGGAGGGGGCACCTAATGCCACTGGGCGCCCCGATGCCTGAACACAGCCCCCCAACCCGTGCCCAGACCCACGAGCCCCCACTAAGTCTAGCCGGGATGCCGAGCCCCCCACAGTGACGCACGCAGGCGGCCTCCTGCAGCTCCGGGGAAGAATCCACGTCAGCAGCTGCTGACACAGGGCCCGGGGGGTGGGGGTGGGGGGCAGATAGGCCGGGGGTAGCGACTGGTCCCATGCATCCTGATGGCTACCCCAGGGAGGAGAGGGGCCGCGCGGGGGAGGTGCATGCGGGCCCTTCCTGCCTCCTGGCCCAGTCCCCTCAACACCCTCCACACCCCGTGGGTCAGCAGGCCTGGGCGCCCAGGGAGCAGGGGGTCCCCTTTCCACACACAGATGCGGCAGCCCAAGAGCAGGGAAGGTGGTACCCGAGGGCACCCAGTGAGACGGGCTGGGGGCTCCCCAGTGGTGGAGGGCTCGGGCCACCTACCCAGGAGAGAGCATCCCCCCGGGGGCCCACATGACTGCACAGACGGTGTCTGGGGAGTGACACGCTGCAGAGTGACAGCGCAGTGGGTCACCATGAGCCCCCAGCAGCCAGGAGTCTGCCTGTGACCCACGCCCTACCCCCCCCACCCCCGTGTCTGATTCACTCCCTGACTCCAGGGCGCCCCCACCAGCCCGGCGCCCGCCATGCCTCGTCACATCCAAGCACAGGGCAGCCGTCTGCAGGGCTCGACCCAGCTGCCAGCTCACCGAGGGCGACACGGGTGACACCCCCCCCCCCCCAAGCTGGAGACAGAAGAGCAAGCCTCTGCCATCATGACAACACACCAACACCTCAGCCATGACACGCAGGGCAAGGGGACTGCAGGGCAGGACACAGGCGGGGCCGTAAGCCAAGGGACGAGGGGGACACAGGTGGGGCTGTAGGTCAGGATGTTTGTGGGGCAGGTGGGCTGGGAGCTGAGATATCAGGGCATGGGCACAGGGGGCACAGAGGGGCTGTGAACTGGGATTTGGGGGTGCAGTGGCCTGTGAACTTGGATGTGGGGGTTCAGGGGGGCTGTGAGCTGGGATATGGGGGTGCAGGGGGCTGTGAGCTTGGATGTGGGGGCACAGGTGAGCTGTGAGCTGGGATGTGAGGGTTCAGGGGGGCTGTGAGCTGGGATATGGGGGTGCAGGGGGCTGTGAGCTGGGATATGGGGGTACAGGGGGCTGTGAGCTTGGATGTGAGGGTTCAGGGGGGCTGTGAGCTGGGATATGGGGGTGCAGGGGGGCTGTGAGCTGGGATGTGAGGGTGCAGGGGTCTGTAGCCAAGCACCTGAGTTTGTGGAAACCCATTGCTGGGGCCTGGGCAACCCATCCCAGTTCCCCCCACCAGCCTCCCTGTGGGGGGGCCCCGGTTGATCCGTGCACAGACTGTCTCAGCTCAGATGAGGGGCATGAGGGGTCACCCAGGGGACAGGAATATCCTTTCAGCTCCAGACACAGGGGATCCCCGACAGTTTAGGGCTCAACCCCCTAAAGTACCTCCGGGGGGAGCCCGGGAGGACCCCGCTGAGAGCCGCGGCCCTGGCGGCCTGGAGGCACGGCGAGCAGGTTCTCCCGTCCCCGAGGAGGTCACCACCCGCCCAGAGAGCCCGAAGGGACCTTTGCCCAGATGCGACTCCCGATAAGCGTCTCTGGCAGAGGCGCGGCGGCCGGCCGGCTCGGGAGCTTGGCACGGGCAAACCTCTGAATCATCCCGGCGAGTCTCCAAGCCAAGCCCTCCCGAGGCCAATTCTCCAAGCCCAAATCCAATAAAAGCCGGGGGGAGGCGTTCCCCTGACAACAGCTTCAGAGGCGCTGCAACAAGCCCTGGGCCCGGCCCGCCCCCCCACCCCCACCCCAGTCCACGGGGTTCCCAGAGGCCCTTCCCCCTGCCAGCAGGACACGGGGTGCGGCCAGGGCACCCCGCTGGGCGGGAGGCCTCGCGGCCACGGGGGCATCTTGGAAACCCAGGCTGGAGATGGCTCAGCGAGCCCGGCCCCCTCTGGGTACGCCAGCATCCCCCCAGCCCGCAGACCCCCGGGAGACACGGTACACGATCCCCCCGGGGTCACGGCTGCCTCTGGAGTGAGGCTCAGCGGGAGGGCACCGGCCTGGCACATGCTGAGCCCTGAGTTCACTCCCTGGCACCGCAGGGAGGAACAAACGAACGCTAGAGGAGGAATCGGGGGAACAGCAGGCTGGGGGGCAGGCAGGGGGGTGCCCCCATCAGCCCCTCCCGCGTCTGGCTCTGGCCCCAAATCCCAATCCCACGTTTGTTCTGACAGCAGACAGGCCGGGCTGACGGCCAGCGCAGGCCCCTCCCCGCCCTCCCCCTGCGGCGCCCCCCAGCTGCCCCGTCTCTGCCGCCTGTCTTCTGGGGGCCCCATGAAACGTGCGGCCCGTCACCCTGTTCCCCAAAGAATTGTTTTCCTCCCGAAAGAGGAAACGCGGTGCCTTATCAGATATCCGCTCGGCGCTGGGGCAGAGACAGGCCGTGAAATGGATCCCCGAGAGGGGGTCGGGGGCTGGGAGGAGGTCACCCCGAGGCCACCCAGGGCGTCCCCGAGGGCCGGCTGGGTGTGGGACGTCCTGGGTGGGACGGGCTCCAGGGAACCGGTCAGGACCTCCCTGGAGAGCCCCCCACTCCCCGCCACTGACCCCCACACAGAGGGGTGCAGGTTCTGCCCGTGGCTGGCCCTTCCTGGGCGGGGCCATGTGCCAGGGGGCAGCAGGGACCCCGGAGAGGGGAGGCGTCTGCTCCACTGCGCTGGCTGGGGGCTGCCATCCTTCACCTGGGAGCCCGGGGGCAAGGAATGGGGGACCCCACCTGGAGCAGCCCGCCCGCCTCCAGGTAACCCCCACCCTGACAGCACTGGAAGCAGACGCCCCGGGAAGTGCTGCAGACGCGTGGATCCCCCCAAGTTTCGAGGAGCCCACCCAGTCACGGGGAAGAAAAGAGGGGCCGCGGGCACAGGCCTCTCCATGACCTGCAACCCAGGAGCCCCCCAGGCAGTCACCACGGGAACATGGGAGGGGGAATCGGGGCAGGGGGGCACGACCCTGAACACCCAGAAAGGAAACACCGTTGGAGGGGTCAGAGAGACTCCATCCTGAAGGGGAAAGCCAGATGTCACCTCCCCAAGCTCCAAAGCCTGGAAGTGAGGGGGGCGCCGGCACCCCCCCACACACCGGTGACAGCCAGACCTCAACTGGTCAGCGGGCCTGCGTCTCCCTGACCGCTCCCTCTCACGGCGGGGGAAACAGGCCAAGTCAGTGCTGGGGGGAGGGAGGGTCCCGGGGAAGCCCTGAGCCCTTACGGTGCAGAGAGGGGAGGGGTTCCCCACCCAGGCATGTCTTGGGGGTCCTCTTCATGCGTGTGCCCACTCAGGGCCACTCACTGCTGGTGGCCGGTGCTCACAGGGACGGGGATGGGTGGGACGTGGATGGGTGGGACGTGGGGGGAGGGGAAGCTACATCCGGGCTGGGCTCTCAGCACTCAGGTATGTCCGGGAAGGGAGCAGACGCAGAAGGAAGGAAGAGGGGTGCCCAACCTTGGACAGCAGCAAGGGACGCGGAGGCCCGGGGCGGGGGGGACAGGACAGTGGACGGCAGTTGGTGGCCTCACCTGGAACCTGTACACCAGCTCCAGGGACTGGCTGTCGTTCTGGTCAGCCTCGAGGATGACATCGGTGAGCTTGTGGATGATGACGTCCAGGGGACCCTGCTCCTCAATGGGCCGGTTCAGGTTCAGCTGCAGCGACATAGAGGGAGTAGGGTGGAGAGGTCAGATCTGGGCCCACCCCGCCAGGGCACAGAGTGGGGGAAGGGGAAGGCGGGGCCCCCTGCCGGGGAAACAGGACGAGGCCCTCAGGTTCGGGAACTCCGCCCGGGCAGGTGCTGCGGGTCCCCAGCGCACCCGGACACTGGGCGCCAAGTCGGGTGACCCAGTGGCCAGGGCTCCGTGGGTACCCCCAAGCCCTGCACCCCAGTCTGAGCGGAGAACACCCCACCCCCACCCCCCCACGCCAGAACCCCACATCCCTGGCACGAGAGACTGGGGGATCCCCGGCTCGGCCCTCCCTGACGCTCAGCACCCTGTCCTGCCGTCACGGAGAGGACAGCGCAAGGGACAGCACGGGCTGAAGCCACCCAGGGTGCGAGCCCGTTTTGGGGCCCAGGAAGCTGCGCCCGTCGCCCCCATATCGGCTTTGGGCCTTGGCCTCGGGCCGTGTCTCTGCATCAGCAGGAGGGCGAGAGCAACCTGGGGTCTGTCCCCGCGCGCCCCCATCACGCAGCTGGCCCGGAGGAGGGCCCCTGTCCCAGGCTTTGGGCAGCTTGCAGGGACGCTGACACGTCCCACCCCTGGTATGTCCCCACGTTTGTGGTGTTTTGGGGTCTCCTTAGCAGGGTCTGGGCACGAGGGGCCTCTCCCAGTGACACTCAGCAGCCCAGGCGGGTAGGGGCCACACTGCGGTCACCCTGGGGTCCAACTCAGGTCCCGGTGCAAGCAGGGCCCCGACCACCACCATCCCCCCGCCTCACACCCCGCCAGTTAGACTTCCAGAAGCCCAGTTGCCTCCTGCTGGGGTCACGCATCCATCCCTCCGGTTTTGGGGGCCGTGTTTGGCTCCTGGCGGTGCTCAGGGCTCACTCCTAGCTCTGTGCTCAGAGGCGACTCCTGGCGGTACTAGGGGGAGGGATGGAACCTCAAGCAGGGTCAGCCTCCCGCCTGGCCAACGCCTCACCCCTGCTCTGCCCTTCCTGCTGCTCCCCTGCCTAGAAACGACGACAACATCCCGGCCTTGTCCTGCCCTGGTGACCGGCCCGCTGGTCTCTCGTCGGGGCACCCAGACGGGGTCCTCAGAGCGAGGGGCTGAAGGGGGGAGGTCAGGCCCAGGCCACCGAGAACCAGGGAAGGACAGCAAGCAGACATGCAGCAGCCCCGGGATGAGCTGCCAGGAAGGAGCCTGGGCACAAGCACACCCTGCCTCAGTTTCCCCGGCCCCAGGAGGGAGAGGGACGGGCTCTCTGATCCCATCAGACCCCGCTCCCCGGGACACACAGAGGCACAGAGCTGGGAAGGAGGGAGGGAGGGGGTGGGGGGAGCAGGAATCGCACAGGGGGCACCAACACAGACCCCACCCACTGCCACCGCGGCTCCGTGAAGGGCGCAGTGACCAGGACAGACAGATGGGACAGACGGGTCCCAAACCTGGGGGACGGGGACGCAGTGCCCTGGGCTCTGTCAGAGGCTGCACCCAGTCCACCTCCCGCCCAGCGTCTCCACAAAGAAGCTTCCAGATCTAGTGGGCCACAGGAGGAGATGGGGGGGGGGGGGGGGGTGCCGCTGTGGGGCGGGGGGGTGCTCTGCTCTTCGGGGCCACACTCCAAGCTCATGTGCCTCTGAGGAAGGACAGGCGGGGAGGGAGGCCCGGGGGGAGGGGGGCGCCCCACTCCAGAGGGCCGGAGCACTTCTCCCGGTCCCTTTGTTTTCTGTCCCTGCTCCACCCCGGCAGGGAACGTTCCCAGGACTCACTGTCCTCCCCCCACCCCGAGCCCGGGGTCCGTCGGTCCAGGCCCCCTCGGCCCCTAGCCGGGCGGCTCCGTGAAAGGCGGCCAGAGCCAGGCACGGGGGCGGGGGTGGCCTTGCTTCCGAGCCATGCCACCCCCTAGGCCCGGAGCTCGGAGACAAGGACACACTGTCCCCCTGGCCGGGAGGGCCGGCCGGAACACGGGGAGGGCCGGCCGGAGGGGGACAAAGGCGCATAGAAGCCCAGTGGCCCCAAAGTCACCTCTGATTCCCGAAAGACGCAGACCCCTGGCCCAGCAGCAGGCGTGGCTCGCTCTGTCCCCTCCTGCCTGGGACAGGGACAGTCCCGCCCCCCCCCCCCCCCCCACGGAGAACCAGCCCCCGCTCCGCCTCAGCCCGGCTCTCTCCCCTATTGGCCAAATCCTCACACCTCACCATACACACACACACACACACACACACACACACACACACACGGAGCCTCTAGGACAGAGCGGCAGAAAGGTGTCATCCGTGGGAAACACGGGCAGCTCTCCCAGGAGCCCCGACGGGCACCTCCTGTCCGCCCCCCTCCAAGGACAAGGACCCCCTCAACTAGCACACGAGCAGGGTGGCCGGACTGTCCCGAGACCCTGACTCACCGGCTCAGTCCATTCGACAGGGGCCTGTGACTCTCCCGGGGTCCCCAGCCCACGAACACAACTCAGAGCAGCACTGAGGGGGGCTTCCCAGGATGGCAGGAAAAGATGGGGAGGGGGCGAGGGAGGGTGGGACACTGTCCTCCGGGTGGGAAAACTGAGGCACAGACAGACCTTGAAGCCCCCCCCCGGGAAATCTGAGAGGCTTGGGGTTTGGAAAGCTTCCAGCAGGTGGACCCCAAGAGGGGCTGGGAGGGAAAGGGGGGGCACGGAAGTCCCACCCTTTTCTTACACCTGGCTTCACTCCCCCTCTCCCTCTGCACCTCCACCTGCAACCCACCCCTGCCCCCATCAGATCCCACCAACAACAACCTGGGAGCCCCTCAAACACAAGAAGTTGTCTGGGGGGGGGGGGCCACTGAGCAACAGCTGACAGGTATTAGCTTAAAAACACGGAGTGGGGGGTAGCGATACTTGGGGGGGGGGCCTGAGTCCTAACCTGATCTCCGGAGAAGCAGGCAGAAAGCCTGGGGGGGTGGGGGAGAGGAGGGGTCTCCCACCACCCCACCCATGGGTATCTTGTGTCTGGAGCCCAGTTGGGGCTGGGGGGTGCCGGGGGAAGGGAAGGAGAAATGCAGAGGATGGGGGGCAGGGGGTGTTTTTCGCCCACAGCACCCTCCAGAAATGTCAGCTATTGTATTTCCCTCTTCCTCCTGCTGGCACGACGACTGCCCAGTGGAAATTTCCCTGACGTTCTTGCCCTGCGAGCTTCCGTCTAGGCCAGAATTTTAAGTCTGCAAAGCCAAGGCTGCCGGGGCTGGCGGGACCCCTCGGTCGCATGCCGCTGCCGGGGTAAAGTTACGGGCAACAGTCCACAGCACGCGGGGAGCTGCACCCACGGCGTCCCCACGCTCCGCGTCTGGACCCAAGCAAGAGAAGCACTTGGTGCCGGAGGCAAAGGGGGCTCAACGCTGGGCCCGGGGCGGTGGGGGGGGGAGCGTGCAGCCCCCCTTTGCCAAGGCCACGCAAGCTCCTGAGATCCCGCCTTCCGCCGCCCTCCCGCTCAGGTCACCCTGCAGAGTGCTGGTTCTTAGTCGTGCCTTCAAACGGAAGGTACTAGATCTGAATTCTGGCTCCCTCAAGGTGCAAACAGGAGCCCAGGAGGAGGGTAAGTGAGCACCTAGTCGCACCCAGAAGTACCCTGGCTGTGCCAGGAGTTCAGGTCTGGGCTCAGCGGCCAGCCCCGACATCTGGTCTCTCCCCGAGGGGTGGGGGAGTCGGGTTTGGTGCCTTTTGGGGGGACAGTGGCCTCGGAGAAGTGTGGGCTTCGTGGATCCAAAGACCCGGGCAGAAAGAGCCAATCTACCTTCCAAAAGGGCACCCCGTGTCCTGCAGGGGGTCCGGAACGAGAGGTCACGTGGGGTCAGCAGGCAGGACCAGACACCTACCCCATCACCCTCTGCCCCCTCCCCCGACGGGGAGGGGAGACGTAACAAAAGCTCCCCACCCCGGTCCCCCACCACCCCATTCCAATCACCATGGTTACGGGAACAGATGCCATGGGTAAGGCAGGGCTGCAGTGCCTGGCCCCCCACGCCCCCACAGCCACCCAATGTTGAGGTTAAAGGATGAATCCTGTGACTCCAGAGTCCCAGGAATTTTGAGAGCCAGCATCGCTGCCAAGGGCTGGAAAGTGGCATGCACTTGACCCCAGTGCTCAAGGGCCCCAAAGCAAGGGCCTGTGTCCGGCAGCCACATACCGGGGCAGAATCCAAGGAGAGACCAGTCTGGGCCCTGCGACCCAGAGAGTCCAATAGATGGACCAAAGGCCTAGAACCGCGTCCACTGAATTACCAGGCACTAACTCACCCACACTGGGGGTCTCCGGGCCGCAGACAACAGAGCCACCCAAGACCCTGCTGGCTGGGGACAAGCCGGAGAGGACAGACACACGGAGAGCGGCAGGTTCTGCTTAGAGGGGCTGGGGTGGGGTGAGACCTCTTTCTGGAGGCAGGAGGTAGCTGTTCCCCGCTGCCTTTGGGGGACAGAGCTTGTGGATGGTTCTAGTCAATGAGCGGGCAGATGCATCACTTCCAGGGAGGGGCATTTGGCCGCCGGGCACAGGACTGGCTGCAGCTTGAGCGGATGGAGTCCCAGGCTGGACCGTGGCCCCCACCGGGAGAGACTCGGGATCCAGGCAAATCTGCTCGTCCAGGCAACAGAGCCCCCCGCCAGGCTCTCAGCATACAACAGTGTCCCCGCGGAGTCTGTTCTTCCCACTCGTCTCCCAAAGCTGTGTGGAAGGACAGGGGTCTGGGTGGGGTGAAGGGGCCCCAGGGGGACAGGCCAGCTGTGATGGAACCGGGCCCAGGGGGTGGATTCTGATACGGGAGGTGGGGGGGAGAACACTTGTCGGATCCCTTACGGTCTGGGGGCAGAAACGGAGGCGGCAACCCCAAAACCCTTCACTCTGGAGGTGTGTGACTAGATGCCCTGGTTGAGTACCCCTCCCTGGGGACGGGCATCACAGGCTGGCAGAGAGGAGGACCGGTCTGCGGAGCCGGCCACCCGGGCGTGCCCAGC